TCAGCTCAGTTCAATTAGACAAGGATCTATCCTATGTTGAGGAGCCAGTGACTATTTTAGACAAGCAGGTCAGAAGGCTAAGATCAAAGAACATTGCATACGTGAAGGTTCATTGGAAGGGACAGCCGGTCTAGGAGGCGACTTGGGAGACCGAGCAGGATATGCACAGCCGTTATCCTCATCTTTTCACCACTTCAGGTATGTCTCTATGCTCGTTCGAGGATGAACGATTGTTTTAAGAGGGGGAGGATATAACGACCCGGCCGGTCGTTTTGAGAGTTAGAGCCTCGAACCCCTATTAACTGTTTTCCCCATATCTATTTCTGCTATTGTGACTTGCCGGGATGATTGGTTTTAAGTTTCGGAGTGTTTTGGGACACTTAGTTCCTAAATGAGAACTTAAGTCTTAGAATTTGGACCATAGTCAAAATTGTGTGAAGACGGATCTGTAATGGAATTTCGTTGACTCCGTTAGCTCCGTTGAGTATTTTGAGCTTAGGAGCGCGTCCGGAATGTGTTTTGGAGGTCTGTAGTAGATTTAGGGTTGAATTGACGAAAGTTAGATTTTTTGGCGATTTTGGCCGATAGTGGAAATTTTGATATCGAGCTCGGAATGGATTTCCGAAAGTGGATGTAGGTTCGTAGTGTCATTTGTGACCTGTGTGTAAAATTTGAGGTAATTCAGACTATATTTGACATGGTTCGGCGTCGTTTGTAGAATTTAGAAAATTTTAAGTTCTTAGGCTTGAATCCGGGTTTAATTCATGATTTTTGGTATTGTTCGATGTGGTTTGAAGGCTCGACTAAGTTCGTATGGTGTCATAGGATTGGTTGATAGGTTTGGTTGAGGTCCCGGGGGCCTCGAGTGTGTTTCAGATGCTTAACGGAACGAAATTGGACTTAGGAAAATCTGATGTTTTTGCTGGTTCTACTGTAATCGTACCTGCACAAGTCTGCCCGCAGGTGCAAGCAAATTGGCGCAGAAGCGAAAAAATAGAGGAGTGCCAGGGGTCGCAGATGCGAGGTGTTTTCCGCATCTGCGATGCCCGCAGATGCGTTAGGGGTCTTCACAGGCGCGCAAGGTCCGCAGAAGCGGAAGGGTATTTCGCAGGCGCGCACGCGCAGATGTGACCCTTTTATCGCAGGTGCGAAGGCAGAGGGGGCCAAGTGAATTGCGCATATGCGCACAATTTCCACACAAGCGCACCCGCAGGTGCAAGCCCAGGTTCCGCAGGTGCGGAAATACCTAGGCAGTGGTTAAAACCGAAGGGCTTCGTGATTTTTGTCATTTTTGACTTTGCAAACTCGGTTTAGGGTAATATTTGAGAGCATTTTCGAGGAATTTCTTGAGGTAAGTCCCTTGTGCTTATATTTGATCAATAATCTTGCCTTTTCATGTATTTTCTCACCTAGTTAGTGTGTATTTAAGGTGGAAATTGGAAGTTGGAGGCTAGGGATTTGGAAGTTTGATTTGTGGATTTGGAGGACCATTTGGTATCGGAATATAGTAATTTTAGTATGGTTAGACTCGTGGTGGAATGGGCGTTTCTATTTTGTAACTTTTACCCGATTCCGAGACGTGGGCCCCACGGGCAATTTTTGAGTTAATTTCAGGATTTTTGTTAAAGTGTTAATTTCATTAATTAGATGAGTCTATTATTGTTGTATTTATGATATATAATTACTTTTTGCTAGATTTGGGCCATTCGGAGCCGGATATTCATAGGAAAGGCATTGTGACCGATTGATTGAGCTTGGTTCGAGTTAAGTGGCTTGCCTAACTTTGTGGGGGAGAAATTCCCTTAAGATTTGGAACCATTGTATTATGTGAGTACCGTGTACGTGAGGTGATGAGTACGTACACAGGCTAGTTGTGGTAAAATCCGATTTTCTTACCGAGCAGCAACATGTTTTCGTGTTATTTTGAGTTATACCATTTTAATGAGTACTAATTTATTCTCATTCTTAATTGAGTTATTCCAATATGTGTAGCTATCATGTTTAGTCTAATACAACATGTCTACGTGTCTTAATTGTTTATGTGAAGCATGCTTAGTGAATTTCCTGCTTCTTCCTTGACTGGTACTTAGTCTAAATTGTAAGAACTTCGTGATGTAGTTGTATTTCTATCATTCGCGCTGCATATTTACTTTGGGACTACGGAATGGTATTCCGGGAGATCTCCCGGTACTACATATTTACTTTGGGACTACGGAACGGTATTGCGGGAAATCCCTCTGTCTTGCATATTTACTTTGGGACTATGGAACGGTATTCCGGGAGATCCCCCTGCACATTTATGTTTGGGACTACGAGACGGTATCTCGGAAGATCCCCTGCTGTGTTTCTGTGTACTAAGTTGTTACCTTTTATGATTTTATTATTGTTAAATTTCAGCCTTTATTTTATTACAGTATTACACTCTATATTGTTTTATTATATATTTATTAGTAGGGCCTTGACCTGACCTCGTCACTACTCGGCCGAGGTTAGGCTTGGCACTTACTGGGTACCGATTGTGGTGTACTCATGCTACTCTCTATACATGTTTTTCATGTGCAGATCCAGATGCACCTTATCAACCGCATTATCAGTAAGCCGGGACAACTTTGGAGACTTCAAGGTATATCTGCCGCGTCCCCAGACCTCAGAGTCCCCTTCTACTCTTTCTCGTGTCCATTATCATCTGTATGTTTCCTTGTTAGATTCTGATGTATAGAGACACTAGATTTTTTTTTCTTCTGTAGTTTGTGATTCACGATATTTCGGGTTTTGGAATTTGTTGTATATTTTTGAATAATTGGTTTAATTTAGATTTTTATTTCAATATTCCGCAAAATGTTAGGCTTACCTAGTTGTAGAGACTAGATGTCGTCACGACGTCACACAGAGGGGTAAATTGGGTCGTGACAATCATAGTCCATGTTTTCCAGACTTGTAATGTATAGATGCTTATGTACTCAGTGACATCGGGTTTTGGGAGTGTATTTATATCCAGTATTTGTAGGATTCTTTCTTAAACTTAATTATGATGTTTTTCGTATTTAAAAGGTATTGTGGGTTATTGATTATATCGGCTTGCCTAATATTGAGATAGGCGTCATCACGACGGGTGAGATTTCGGGTCGTGACATAACGGTTGTCTTGGTGCTATGGTTACCCATTTATATGTTTGAAATGCACAATACTATAAAGACAAAATGTATGTTTGAATTTAGGGTTTGACAAGCTTACTTCAGATGTGTAAATGTATGAAGTTTGATCTTGCCAAAGACAACTTTAGTAAGCAATGTAAGTTAGGCTCTGTAAAGAGCCAAAATTTCAGTAAGAAAATGTCTGAAGTGGACCGTATCCGAAGTTTAACCTTGATAAGGCCATATTTTGATAAGGCCATATTTTGATAAGGCCATATTTGAAGCAACAGATGTCTGAAATTTTTCAAACTTCATACGTGAATTTTACTACTTTATTTCCGTATATCTGAAGTATATTTCAAAGCACGTAAACTTGTTAATTTTTATACAAGTGCATGTACAAGTTAGCCAATGCAGTGTTTCTCCTCATACCGATAAAAATTGGAGTATATAGCAAAAACCTAATGGTTAATTTTGCACTTTGAGAAGTACTTGAGACGTATCTTATTACTCTTCCATTCCCATTATACTGGCCTGAAGTGCATATTCAACAAGTCAAAATTGCCATGCATCAAACAATGACATAAACCGAATAAACGGCACCTTACGCTTATCAATCTTTTCTCAGTCCCTATATTATTGGGCTATTGTATACTTGGAAATACTTTCATATCATTGAAGACATCCTAATGAACTGCGACGTCCAATTGATTTCTGTCTATACTGATATAAAAATCTCTTGCTCCTTCATAGGCGTATCCAATGAAAAATCTATGGGTTCATCTAAACTCATAATGTATGTGTTAAACATCAACTAAATATGTACAAATAATAGATTTTGAACCCAGTTAATCAGATTGAGATGGTAGAATTATAAATTTGAACTCCATAAAATTCAAATCCTAGATGCATGACAGGGCAAAACCGAACTAAACATATCTGGATCTAAAGACAGAGGTATTGTCATGGGCTGCTTTCCAGTCACGCCCCATGACCCCTTGGACACACCCCATGGCGTCCTGGCAAGCCTTCCAATGTCCAGCGCCACGGTCGGCTCCGTGGTCTCAGCAACGCCAAGTGACAAGCACGCATGTACCTCTGTCGCCCCATCGATAGTCCTCACCAGCACCCAGCGGCTGGCAGATGCCAACAGTGCCGCACGCACAGACCATGATGATGCCAACAGTGTCGCGCGCGTAGATCTTGATGCCTCGCTAGCGCCCAACCGCATGCAGATTTCAACAGCGCCACGCGCAGACCCTGATGCCAAGTGCCAGCGCCCCACAGCAGGCAGATGCAAATAGTGTCGCGCGCGCCGACAACACCACACGCGCAGACCCTGATACTAAAGACAAAGTTACCGCCAATGGACCTGTTTCTACCTTGTAGAAAACTAAGTCCTTTTTCATTGTAAATATAGAGTAGTTTTACTTCATTTACTTTCAATGTGCTTCTATAGCTTTAGATAGGTCAAGTCATGTAATTTTGATTTATTTTTTTAAGCATTATTAGGGGATCAAGCATTCAAACAAGCAAACATTTCTCTGTATTGGTCTCTTCCCCTCGACGCCGTGTAGCCTTTTGTAATAGCTTTCATTCATTAATGCAATCAACCTTCAATCTCAATTGCTCATGACATTGGTTTTCCCGTACGGCACTGACAATCTCGTCTAACGTACGGAGGGGACCTCAATTGGCAGACAATAATCGCACTAACATCGGTTGCTTAGCCTTACGTCGCCCTTCCAAGGAATCTCAGGAAGGCGCCGCGTAACAGTACGCATGCACCAAGCAAGCAAAACTTTCAAACACAAACTGGACATTATATTACTAATAATAGACCGCATCACTGTAAAATAGATGAAATGACTAAACAACATCAAGATACTATTTAAAAAGAAAAAGTTACAAACTATGTTGCTAAAACCTTCAAGAGAGTCTCCAACAAGTCTAACAATTGTCAAAGACATGGCTAATAGAAGTCTTCTAAACATAACAAGTTTACCAGATCCACATCATAGTCATATGGAAAATGCAATACCCACAATGGCCTATTCCTAAGCTGCATTACTCCATAATTAGACAGAACAAGAATTAAAATACTCTCACTTAGGAGAAGCCTTTAAAAATTCTTCCATCTCTTTCCTGCAAATGCCTGTTAAAGCAAACATGTTGGGACAATTCCTCTGAGTTAGATCCAACCACCTGTACACAGTTCATGGTAAGTTGTAATTAAAATCATGCTCTTAGTCCTTATATGCAGGGAAACCTGGATCTGCAAAACTCATAAAACATGTAAGACTAACTTCCGAAAGCAAATTTCAAAACAAAGAATAGTTGGGAAAGCAACTAGCCTGGATGTGCTCTGGTCAAGGAACCTGACTGCATATACAAGCATCAACACATTTGCAAGATAATTTTAATATATTATCAATGCATGCGGTTCTCATTACAAGACATTCTTAAATAGACCCCTAAACCAAAGAAGAGGGCAACCCCCAAGAAGATGAAAGAAACACTTGGGATGGACAACCAAGAAAAAGACTTGGGACAAAAAACTTTAAAATGGCATAGAATTTGCACTAATCTGAATCAATTCGATGATATATGATACCAATGGAAATCTGATCGGGAAGTCCTAATAATCATAGAAAAGTGTGTTGAGGTGAAAATGGTAGGCTTAGAATAATTACTCCTTTGGTTCCATTTGTTATAACACTTCTTTCATTTTAGTTTGTTACAGAAAGAGTGACATCTTTCTAAGAGAACCTTTGGTATATACCAAAAGTCCTTATTTCTTTTCTAAACTCCGTGCTCAATTAGATGCCGAGTAAATGAAACAAAGGGAGTAAAAGATAAAGCTCTTGAAAAGCAAAACTTTACAATGTATTGCCCTACTAGGCGATTCTATGAGCAATTCAGACATTTCGTTTATGTAACAATCACGTACAGACACTTCCAGGACTAACATTAGGGAACAAGCATTGACTCAACTGGATAAGGTTACAGTAGCGTGACAGTACATACAAGTGATTGGCTGACCGAAAGAACCTACAACGAATAAGCATCTCAAGTACTCAGGGAGTAATATCATTATGTGTATTTGACAAAAATATATAAATTATGGTTAGTACTTAGTATTAACCATAAGGTACACGTAGACTTACTAAACTCATCCTAATTTTCTGTAATTTAAAAATGTTCTTCCAATAATATAACCATATAAAACATCTTCTCGTCACATAATAATGGATATGGATGGTGAGAATTAGAATGGGCCAGAAATATTACAGAACTCTAATGTAATTTTAATTTATGACCACTATAATGTCAAATCAGAAACGTTACTCTTAGACCTTGAAGAATACTTATTACTGAACTCCCAACAGATCAGAATTAATAACCAAAACTGTTCCAGACAGCCACAAAGCAAAAAAAGGACAAGTTTGTCAAAAGACATGAACAAGCAAAGAGCATCATAGGACGAAGTAACGAACTGAAGGAAGGACGACCAAAATAAAATTTTGGCAGGAGAAGTGGCAGAAAGGTTACAAGGGTAATGATATGACAGATAAAATGCATGATGCACAGAACAACATGTGAGAACCAGAAAAGCATAAAACAAGGGTTGAAATTTCACATTTGATAGCACAGAATTGAAAACCTGCACCACCTGCACAGTGGAAAATGGTAGTAAGGTATATCTCATGGCAGGTGGCCTTTCTTAAAAGACAATGACTTTTGGGAGAAATCAAAAGATCAACCATAAGAAACAAGGAACCAACCTATCCAGGATATACTCATTAGTTTCCATAACCATCCTGTAGTGATGGCTGCTGATAATTATACCCATTACCATTTTGTGCATATCCATGCTCGTTGCTTTCGTCGTTGTAATTAATACCAACTGCATTGGTCTTGCTAGTAAGTTCTGCCTCTTCTTTTTCCCTGTTCCACTGCTCTATTCTTGCGCGCCTCTCTTCACTACTATCCCGAGTTGGACTTCGATCCCTCCTGCCACGAGGGCTCCTGCTCCTACCCCTCCTATGTCCAGGACTTGTAGTATGCCTCCTACTCCGGCTCTCATTATAATAATCTCTATCATCATACTTTCTACTATGACTCCTGTGAGAGCGCTCTTCATAGCTACGATGCCTGTAAGGACTTCGACTTCTGCTTCGGCTTCGACTGTACCTTCTCCTGTACCTCCCAAACAACTGGCGTCTCAGCTCTCTAAAAATTGTCAGCATAAAAAGGATAAGTCAGCAACAATTCAATTTGTAAGACACTGAACAAATGGTTAACAAGTTCTCCAAACAAAGTGAATAGCAGTAACCTGCCGATCCTCTTAAGATGCATAAAGTTGCAATATCCACCACGGTTGCAGCTGTTCTCTTCGTACTGTCTACAGGTGGCTTCACGGAAATCAGTTACAGGAGAGAAATCAACAATGATGGGCCTCCCTACAGTTTTTATTACCAGCAGAAGTTTGGGGATCATACTTTGAAATATCTAAACCAGGAAAAAAACTAAATAATAGGTGTTGACAAGCCCATTAACCATAATACAGACAAACTGGTTCTCAGCCTTTTTACCATCTTAAGAAATCCCACTTAGTCCAATACTTATACAAGGAAAGCATTAGTTAAATGAGAAAGTTACCAGCATAAAATCTTCCTGTAAGATTCTTAAGAGCATTTGAAGCCTGCTCTTCTTCTCTAAACTGAACATAAACATTGCCCACCTGCATGCACACATAATGCAAAAAATAAAATGCCTACCAATAATCTAAATCAGTGGAATAAATCCAACAAAAGCACAGATAGCTTACCATGTGGTCCGCCAAATTATCACAAACATTCAGGCTCTCAATCTCTCCGTACTTGTTCAGTTCTTCAAATAAATCTTCATAAAAATCCTGTAACAACACCATAATAAGCATATGCCTCGAAACATCCGACTAATGACCCACCGATAAAACATTACCAAAACATGAAGCATGAACCAGTTCACAAAGTCAGTCTTTTTTATTCTAATATTCATAGGATTTTGGAAAAGAACAGACAAATTTGCTAGTTCTTCAGGGATTAGGCAACTCCAAGCCTAGAAACATCCAAATCACAAATCATTACTCAATCAATTAATCAACACCATCTCAGTCCCAAACCACTTGGGATCATCGATATAAATATTCTACGTCTGTTTCGCTCTATTCGGGCATATTTCACTAATTCTTAAAATAACTAACTTAAATGGGCAGACAAGCAGAAAAATTAAGCTAGTTTTCTGAGGATTCTGTAACTCCAATCCCAAAAAACATCCAAATCATCAAACATCAATTGATCACTCAAGTAATCAAATAAGCCTCAGCCAAAAGTAGTTGAAGCCAAGTATATCAATAATTCTATATCCTGCTCCACATTATACAGACCCGTTTCACTAAATCATAATATAACTGAAAGAAATCCAGAAATGAGCAAAAAGATTTCCTAGCTTTACTTCAAAATGTTCCAGAATTGAAATATCCAATTCGTAAAACATCAATTAATTAACTAAACCCCAACCCAAACTAACTCAGTTCGACCATATAACTCCTCTATATCTGTTCCTCTTAATTCGGGCCTGTATCACTGCCAAAACCTCAATGAACCCAAATCAGTTCGCAAAGGGCCAATCATAAATAATCAATCATTTATTATATCAGCAGCACTGCAATCCCAAACTAATTGAGCTTAACCATATAAATCCTCTATATCCCTCTTCTGTTACCCATTTCACTAATTCATAAAACATCTCAATCAAATCCAACATGATTTGCAAAGTCACCATAGTAAAATCACAAAATTTTGATCATTTAATTGACCAGCTATGCCTAAATCCGAGAGACTAGTTTAAGTCGACTACATAATTCCCCTGCATCCATTCCCTTCTATTCAAACAAACAACACTTGTGCCTCAATCACAAACAAGTCGGATTTGGCTATATGAATCCTCATTGACCATATTACTCCATATAAACTCATTTCAGGCTAATATTATAAAAATAAAAATAAAAAGTACTAGAAGTTCATTATATTTTCTGCTGAATCATAAATAAAAGAAATTCACTAACAAGCAGAAAAAATCACAATTTTTAAAATCATATAGATCATAGAATATCAATCAATCAATTAATCAACTATGCTTCAATCTCATAGTACTTTGGGTCTGCTAAGTGAACCCTTCTATATTTATTTATTTGATAACCGAGAAATCCCGAGGGCCAGAAGCACACAGTTTGAAGCTCCGAGGATAGTTGGCCCACCCTCTACTCTTCTCTACTTAAAAAGATCATAAAAAATAATCACTTAATTAATCAACTACACCTCAATCTTACTCCTCTACATCAATTCTGCTCTATTTGGACCCGTTTAACTAAACAGGAAAATAACTCCATAAAATCCACAAACAAGCAGAGAATTTGATAATTTTGATTTTTTACCTCAAAAAGTTCCTGCATATAAATACTCAATATATGTTCCTCTCTGTCGGACTCAATTCACTAAAACATAAGATAACTTAATGAATTCATTAACAATCTTAAGAAAACATAAGATAACTAAATGGATTCATTAAAAATCTTTAGAAATCAATCATTTAATAAATCAACTACAACTTCATCCCGAACTAATTAACCATATAGATCCTCTATATCGATTCCTCAGAACATTACAATAAATCATAAAATAACTCAATGAAATCCAGCAAGGGTCGACCATTAAAAATCAGAAAAAAAAATGGATCTTTTAATTTACTGTGACTCATTCTCAAACTAGTTGAGGTTGGCTATATAAATTGTTTATAATTGTCCCTCTATTCGACCACATTTTGCTAAAGCATAGCAAATAATTCAAATAAAATACGCAAACGAGCAGACATTTTGCTAGTTTCTAAAACACAATAAGATCACTACATATCAACTGACCAACCACGCCTCCATTTCAATAAACCACAAAATAACTAAATAAAATCTACAAACAAGTAGTAAAAAATTTCATAATTTTTTTTACCTCAAAATGTTCCTGCATTTTGCGAGGATCAATGGGCTGACCATGAACATCAACACCAGGAGTAATCATATCGGGCCTTTGATACATATTCGAAAGGAGAAGCGTTGGGCTAATACTGGGCTTTGTATGAAGTCTAGAACAACGATCTCCATGTCTACAAGCACCAATTTTAAAGTAAAATGGACAATTCACCCTGTCTTTCTCTGTACCGAAAATCGATGCTAAGTGCTCCGCCATTATTACCGAATTGGATTGTTATAAGTCTCTTCTGCTAGGGTTTTTTGGGTATCAATGGATAAAAATGGAGGAGGAGAATTTTTATATGGAAAGACTTCCGTATCTGCTCCTTCTGGATAGTTCTAAAGCGCTGAGTTGTTATTCCTACTACTTAGGGTGTGTTTGGTTGGAAGGAAAATGTTTTACTTCCAAAATATTTTCTTTACTTATTTTTTGGTGTTTGATTAATTTAGACAAATTCAATATAAGACGAAAACCCTTAATCTGTTTCAAAAAAGATTAAATATATTGAACCTCCGATATTGAACCCATACCTCTATTAAAGTGTGTTTGAACTATGCCGGTTAATCGGGCCAGGCTGACCCGTTTATAACCCGATTCAGTCCGATTCAGTCCGATTCAGTCCGGGTCAGATCGGTACTGTAGCGCGTAGGGCGTGCTGGGACGGGTTGGGCGGGGAGCGGGTTTCAAACGAACAGTTTTTTGATATCGGTGCACCGGAACCCGCTAAGCTCGTTAACCCGTTAACGGATTTTTAACGGGCTACACCCGGTTCAGTCCGGTTTTTAACGGGGTTTTTTTTATATATTTTTTTTTATCCTTGCCAACCGTCAAATTCAAATATGACCGTTGGCCACTGACCCTTTTTGCAAAAATGGTCATTTCGGCCTACCCCTTAAGAAAATAACCCCACACCCCTAATATTTGATAAATTATAATTTTAACCTTTTAAAAACTATAAATAGCCCCCCTTCTTCTTTATTTTTCCTCACAATTCACTCTCTTACTATTCTAATTCTCTCTCAATTCTCTCTTGATATTATTGATTATTGTTCTTAAATTCTCAATTACTTATTATTTCAAGTTTCATCAAATATTTAGTTTAGCCATTACAAAAGAAGGATATACTTCTGTTGTTGAATCTATGCTAGATAAGTTTAAAAAATATTTCTATCCAATTTCCCCTATTTACCTAATTGGTGCTATTTTAAACCCTTCTATCAAAATGGTCACTTGTCGCCAATTAATCACTGCTTTATATTCTTATATAGATATTGGACCAACTGAAACTCCTAATATTGACACTTGTATTTCTGATCTACACAAACATTTGGAAATATTATATAATTATTATGCTAACATTGTCGATGCTTCTTCTGCTGTAGATGCAAATATTTCTTCAAGTTCAGTTTCAACATCTGGGACCAGTGCTTTGGATGATAATGATGGTGTTGAAGATTATTTGATTTGGTCTATACTAGGGGAGCATCAACAAACCAGTAGCAGGAATATTGATGAACTTCAATTCTACTTGCAAAAGTCAGCAGAGCCCGGCACAAAGGAATTTCTACCACTGGGGTGGTGGAGGGGCAACTCAAATCAATTTCATGTTCTTTCGGCCATGGCTCGAGACGTGCTAAATGTGCTGATTTCAACAGTCGCATCAGAGAGCGCATTTAGCCAAGCAAGGCAGCAACTAGGAGATACCCGTCATTCATTGGGCAGCAACGCTTTGAAAATTCTAGTGTGCTTCATAGATTGGATAAGATCAAAACGGCGAAATCAAGGGCGTGACGAGGTAGATGGAGCGGAGGACCAAGAAATTAGAGATATAATGGTTTATGGTTCTAATTCAACCAATGTCGGAAACCAAGAACCTCATGTTGACATGGATGAACTTACAAAAATGATACAAAGCATGTGACGTACTATTTTTTTTTCCTTCTTATAATTGTTGTAAACTTTTAATTTGCAAATTCAAAAATAACAAAATAAAAAAAGAACTTGCAACTTAATTTGAAGTATTATATATTATTCAATAAAAATATCAAATGAAAGTCTCCGGAGCTTGATCCTTACATATTGCCTATTGATCTTAATAAATAATTTTTTGCAGCCACTTACTTTCAAATTTTAATTTTAAAATTGTAAAATTCAAATTTCAAATTTAAAACTTTAAACTTTAAAATTTAATTCTAAGCCTTAAAAGTTTGCAAACACTTAAGTATCAATAACATTGAATAAGAAAAATAAAATTTACTTAAAAAAAAATTAAACAGCCCGGTCCAGCCCCCTAAGCCTGAATCCGGACGGACAAAAAAAAAACTCAGAAAAGTACAACCCGCTAACGTTAAACGGATTGGCTATTTTTTTTTTGTCCACCCCGCCCGTTAAACACTCATAGTTTGAACTGAAAAAAAGTTCACTTTCTGTTATTACAAAGTCTTTTATTAAAATAAAAGTAACCTGGTTTAATAAGATATTGTCATTGAACGGAAAGTCAGGTAATTTGCCCGAGTGGTTAAGGGGAAGACTTAAGATCTTCTGCGCAGAAGTGCGCGTGGGTTCTCGAACCCCACAGCCAGTATCTCACTCCTTCCATTTATTGTTTTTCCACCTTTACTCCAAGAGGCAATTTTTTTCGTTTTCCTAAGAGAAAATAATTCGATCCCTCTATATCTATGATAATTCTTATTAAACTCATTTTTAACTCATATAATTCTAATATAATTATAGTACTAATATTCTAAAAAGCTTACAATTATAAATTATAACCATTAGGTTTACAGTATAGTAGTGCCAATAGGCATCTCCCACACAAAGGTATATGCGGAAAATTTTGCTCTGCCTACATTTTTTGCATATACTCGTCTTAGGGTAATGCGCGTGTACCCTATATTAATAAATAATTTTTTTTAAAGAAAAAAAGTATAAATTCTTTAGTATAACAAATGTTATTCCTATTCCTAGAGGCAATTTTTTTCGTTTTCCTAAGAGAAAATAATTCTATCCCTCTATATCTATGATAATTCTTATGAAACTCATTTTTAACTCGTATAATTCTAATATAATTATAGTACTAATATTCTAAAAATCTTACAATTATAAATTATAACCATTAGGTTTACAGTATAGTAGTGCCAATAGGCATCTCCCTAACAAAGGTATATGCGGAGAATTTTGCTCTGCCTACATTTTTTGCATATACTCCTCATAGGGTACGCGCATTGCGCGTGTACCCTATATTAATGAATAGATTTTTTTTAAGAAAAAAAGTATAAATTCTTTAGTATAACGAATGTTATTCATATTCAGTTAAGTGTACAACATTCTTTTGTATCTCTATGGTATAATAAATTATTTTGTCATGAAATCATAAACTCATAGTTGCTGATTGTCTTTGTTGCTTAATTGGAATAAATAATGGTGATTCAGACTTTTATTTTGTGAGAGATAATAAAGAGAATGTTGTACTCGTAAATGTTTTATTATTTTTGGTGAGAAGGAACTTCTTTGCTTTGGCTAAAGGAATTATCATTTTTTAAATTTCAGAAATTTAATGATTAATTATTTTGAACTCCAAACACCATAACTAATTGTTTAACTGTTTAAATTGCCATCTCTTTTTATTTTCTCAAAAATCCAACCAATAATATTTAAGAAGATTGCTCATGTTTGATAAAATTTCATCCTTCGTTTATCTAGAAAAGTAGTACTCTTCTATTATTTCCGAATCTTACGAAACTTTAGGAATTAAAAAAAGCTTTTCAAGTAAAAGGAAATTTAAATATATAACAATGCCCTCTTTATATTGGAAACAATTGTCAAAAAATCCCAAGAATAATATTTGAAAGAAAAAAATAAATATTATATCTAAAATAATGAAATATGTTTGAACTTTTATTGGCAGAACATACATAGATTATTTACCTCAAAACTAACATAGATTTTTTACCTCAAAACTAATGTTGTCTGGCGTTTCATCCTCTATTGTAGGATTAAAATAGGACACATGAAGAATGATACTGAAGGCATGTGATACTGAATTAGATACAACTAATCTTGATTATAGATTTAAAAAAAAATACTCAAACAAAAAGCAAACGAATGGAGATAAATTTATATAAATACACCGTAGCAAAATAAAGTTAAGGGAGAAAATAAAAGGTCCAAAAGGAAATTTCAATAGTGGAAGTCCCTTGATGAAGGAAACAAAATCTGCTATATTACGTGCTCTTAGTTTAATAAGGAAGAATTTAATATATAAAATTTAGTTGATTTCGAAATTTTAAATATTAGAAAAATAAAAAAATGATTATGTCTAAATATTAAGAAAATTAATAAATGACTATTTTATCTGTGATGACCCAAAATATCATTTTTAATTTAAATATTTATTTCTTTGTTCTAAGACCTCAAAAATCATTATTTATTATTTCTCAATTTGCGTGCATACACAGTCCGTATAATTTTTCAAAAAGTTTATTTACACGTACAAAAGAGAGACAGAGCTAGAACCGAGGAATGGATAGAGTAAATACAACATATGAGGATAGAGCATAAAATTGATCTCCTCTGCGGAACAAGAAGGCACACCTACTCACTTTACCTTTTTCTTATTCATTGAAAACAACCACTCACATAGAGAGGCTAGAAAAGAAAACACTAGATAAATCAGGAGAGCTCCATCGTCCAAAATTCCATAGCTCCCAACTTCAAAAGCCGTCATTGCTTATCTCTGCTCCACAAATCAATCATCGATTCTAGAACCCCCACCATTAAATAGCCACGAAACATCAAGATTTAAGGAGTTTTTTATGATTTCGAACGGGATAAGTGTTCTTTATCATATAGTGATTATATTTTATAAATCCATGCTTATATTCATCGTTTATTTCGGATTTAGATGGAAGAAAATTGGAATTTTTGTAAAACTTTCCAAAAATAAAAATTTAAGATTTGAAAGCCAATCTGATGTCAGAATTCGATAATTTTTATATTGTTGAACTCGTATCGGAACAGGTGTTCGGACTTCATAAGTTTTTTCGGGATTCGAGAAGTGGGTCCCACTGTCGATTTTTAAAATAAATTTTGAATTTTTATCCGAAAATTAGTAATTTCATATGAAATTAATTCCTACGATTCGTGTTGAGTATATTGAATTGTTTATGACTAGATTGAAGGTTTCAGACACGAATTCGCAAGGCAAAGATTTATTGGAATCTTGAATTTGGTTGCAAAGCGAAGTAAGTGTCGTGATTAATCTTGAGTTGAGGGAATAGAACCCTTGAATTATTTGTTAAGTGAATTTCATCTGTAATGACGTATAGGCGAGGTGACAAGTGCCTATACGTCATCAAAATTGATTGTTTGCATAATTATCTGAAAATCATAAATTATTTTAATCATGAATTAATTATTACATTAATTATTTTTCTCATATTTCTTGTCCAATATCATGTCTTGAGTTCATGCTATAATTGTTACATGCTTATTTGAATTATGTGTCTTAATTGCCACTTGACATTTAGCATATTAAATATTAAATTGCCTATTTTTTTCTTAATTTTCATAATTAATTGCTACTTGTCATTACTTATTTTCTAAATAAATCATAATAATTGTATGCTTTGTTGTCTAATAATTTCTTATTAAATATGATATTTATTGGAGTATTTTTACATTTAAGAGTTGCTTAATTATATTGTTGGAGCGGGTTGCACGCCGCAACAGAATTAAATTGAAAGATTTTATTGTTGGATTGGGTTGCATGCCGCAACGGATTTTATTCTAAGTTTATATTGTTGGAGCGGGTTGCACGCCGCAACGGAAATTAATTGAGAGATTATGACTGCTGAATTGACTTCAATTATTGATATGATCTACCGATCTTACTATTATTATTATTATTATTATTATTATTATTATTATTATTATTATTATTATTATTATTATTATTATTATTATTATTATTATTATTATTGCGTACCAGTTAATGTAAGCGACATGCTTTAGCCTCGTCACTACTTCGTCGAGGTTAGGCTCGGCACTTACCGAATACATGGGGTCGGTTGTACTCATACTACACTCTGCATTTCTTGTGCAGATATCGGAGTTGGTCCCAACGACGTACTGTAGATTTACCCGAATTCAACTATCAAAGGAGACTTGAGGTATAGTTGCACAACGTTCGCATCTCTGAAGTCCCCTTCTACTTTATCTTAGCTGTGTGTTTTCTTTCAGACAACTTTCTTTTATTCAGACCCTTGCTTGTATTATTCTAGAAACTCGTGCACTTGTGACTCCAGTTATGGGATGGTATTTAGACATCGTATTATTTTGGTTTGCTCATTTAAATTCAGATATTATTTCGCTTGTTGGTTTCTTTACTATTTAATTAAGATAAATTGTCAAAAATGATAAAATTATTCTAACGCTGACTTGCCTAGCAAGTGAAATGTTAGGCGCCATCATGGTCCCGAAGGTGGGAATTTCGGATCGTGACATTATCCCATATGAAATATATTTTTAAAGGGTAAAAAAGGTGAACGATATTTCGTTAAACGATTTCGTGGTTTTAATATAGTATAGATAATTGAAAGAAATTTTATTTTGCTACATATTAACAAACTCTTTATAAAATCATATTTAAATATTTTAAAAATCTTTTGTTGTTCCACTAGGTGGCTATGAAAAGTATCTCTGTAAGCACCCTACTAAACTTGGCAAATTTTATTACTAATTCAGTTATAAATTGATTACAAACTCAATAGTATGGGATTTAGCAAAAAAAAAATTATAAATCAAATTTTAGTTTTTAGGGCAACTGTAAAGAAAATGTTTACCCTTTTGTTTCTTTCCTTACTTGATATATATTAAACAAAAGAATTACTCTTAAGCATTACCAATTAAATATTTATCTATCTATATAATTTTGATCCATATAGAGGTGATGTGACGTCTCTTTCATAGCCAGAAAATGCAGTAACCTTTTTTTTTCTTTTTTTAAACCCTTTCACCTTATTTTTCTTATTAGAGAATTAATCATATTCTAATATATTGTTTGTACTTTCATCAATACAATTATTGATCCTTTCTAAGTTACAGCATACTAAAAATACAATAAATACTTAAATAGTCATAATATTGTATTGGTAAAATTCGATTTTACCGCGTGGTACAACAAACAATAATACATCTCCGGACCCATAAGACAGATATCAAGACCTGGGAATAGAAGAACCGTGCCGAGGACCGCCCATTCAATTTGGAACAAGAGCATACACCCGGAGCAGACCACAAACTTTCAGTGTCCAACTCAACTGTACTCAGAGCCCTCCTGAGATCGTGATCTCTGTCTTTTGCGCCATTATAATTGCGGTTGGAGATGATTTCGCCACCCCTCTAATTACAAAGAGTAGATCAAGTCATTTTTTCAATTCAAAATAGACATGAACTATTCTAAATGTATGATTATATTTTAATATATACTTAGCAAAATTGAGATCGTAGATGATGAGAACTTATAAAAATATTATCTTAACCATGGATATTAATATTGCCGAAACTTTGGTGAGTAGGGTTATTAGATATCTTCCATGGTGAAAGCTAGCAATTAGCCGAGTGCATAGTAAGGATACGTACAAGATGGTCGATACATACAAAACAAAAAGGAAGGAATCAAATAAAACCATATAAAATTTTATTTATATAATTTACGGCTTTTTCTTAAAGTTTGCCTTTAGGCCACCAATACCGTTAAGCCGTCTATGATTTAAACACAACCACATTTTTTTAGTAGCCTTAAGTATAAATTCAATTGCTTATTCTAAAGTTTGTTCTTTAAGTTAAACAAATATACAATTCATGATACATTTTTTCAAGAAAGAAAGAAAACGTTACTCCATTAAGTACAAGTATTAGGGATTGAAAAGGGAGTTACATTAATTTGGAATAGTAAAGGGAGAATTAAAGAGCATATTTCTCAAAATATAACGGAAGTTTCTCATAAATGAGACTCTTGTCTAGACTATAAAAGTATCTAAAAATTTATACAATGGTGAAAAAGGCAAACATAACTACATAAGCATTCTAGATATGGAGAAGTCATCCTTGAAGTTGGTTTATACTTTGACGCTTCTTATTGTTGCAATAGGTTTGTGACTCTCTCTCATTCTCTTGGAATCTTTACACAGATAGCCAGTCGATATTGTTGTTTCTAGCCACTATATATTATATAATGATTATATATATATATATATGACTAACGATATTTTTTTTACAGATCTCCTTTGTATTAAAGCGACAGCTCTAGGTGAATTAGCATGTTTAAAGCATGAAGATTGTGCCTACTTAGCTGAAGGTCATCATTGTAGACCTTATTGTGACATGGGAGAATTTTGTGACTGTTATCCATATACCGACGAAGATCGTGATATTACAAGTACAAACGACGAACAAAATATATCTCCCGTATAATTTTTTTCCCCTTATGTTTTCTTTATCTTTCTAAAAAGAGAATAATCATAGACTACCCTATTATTAATTGAATTTTGTATACAAGGGTATAGAAAAATTTATAAAAGTTTGGTTCTACTACACTCAGATGTAAATTATTCTCTCTCAGCGCCTCTTTTTCAGCATTTTGTCATATGCAATGGGTTGATTCGTGAATTTAGAGAAAAAAACTACAATATTAAGATATTGGGGAGGGGGAGACATAAAAAGAGAATATCCATAATGTGAATTAGGTAGCCGTTTTGTTAATTTAGGGGTAGAGTTAGAGGTTTGGGTAATACGTTTTTTGGGTTGGAATAAGAGAAAAAAGAGAGGATAAAGCTATGAAAATGAAAGGAAAGAGAAAAAGAAAGAATAAGAATAAATAACTTATATGCATTCGGTGCTCACACAAAATTAAACAATTTAATTTTAGTAGTTAAAATTAAAGTGACAATACATATCATTTGATCATGAACATCATGAGCGGCTCAATAAAGGTGGTAGAATAAAACAAAAAAATTAACAAGAGGCTTTTATTTTTAGATAAAATTCAGGTACATTAATATATGAAACCAACATCTTTAGAAAACCGCGAGGAGTGCGATTCTCTGTAACCAGTAATCCCGGACTATCCCATTGTAACTTGACGAAGCCTCCTATTTTCTCTAGGAGAGGAGTCACTTCTATTTTGCCAAATCGAAAAACAGCTCTTTTCTCATCCCATAACATGGTAGCGGCCTCAATCAATTCCCTAATTGGTCAAATGTTCAGCAAGGATGGCAGGTCACCCAATACCTTTCTCACATGATTCTTGTCGTGAGGTACAAGGTATTTCCATCAGTCAAGTAGCAATGGTGGGATGTTTTGGACCATACCGAACCTGGGGACTTCATGCTTCATTTTTCTACAAGCAAACAAAGGTTAGCCCTTCCCCCTCCAGATTTGACTACTTATGCAATAATGATCAACATGTTGGCGTATTTGCTCCAAGTAATGCACATAATATGGTAGTGTCCATTGGAATTGTGGAAATCCCGTCGGACTTTGGACAAGGTTCATCTTAGCGGGTTGTTACGTTAATAACGTTCCAACTCGTACTAGGTTTAACATGATGCATGTACATTTTAAGTTGGAGTGGGGTTTCTGGAATGATCTAGACTGGTACTCTCAAGTGAAAAACTTGAGAGGGAAATCCACATGACCATCGATTGCACCGCTGATCGACTAGTCTACCGCAAATAAGCCTTTCTGATTTAAAAGGGTAATTTTCGGAAGAGCGCGGACACTCATCAAGTGCTGCTATGTTGATAATTGGCACGAGTGGAGTATGATGTGGAGAATTCTTTATATATCAATAATAACACGTTGTCAAGTATTTGCATGATATGTAAAAGAATTAAATAATATAGCAAAGGTAAACATGGAAAGAATATAGAAGAAAGACAAAAGGATGGAGTTAGTTTAGTTCATAAAAATATATGCGGGAATGTAATAAAGAAGGTAAGGAAGTAGGCATGATATAGCAATTTTGACAATATAAAAGAGTGGTCATAGCAAGCAAAGGTGAATAAGGGGAAGGGATGTGCCTGTCATAGCAGATTTAAAAAAATAAAGGTGAGTAGGCGAAGGGATATGCATGTCGTAGCGGATTTAAACAAATAAAGGTGAGTAAGGGAAATGATGTGCATGTAACATAGAAAGTAATCCACATAAGCCAAGTTCATTATGGTAAGAGCCTAAGTGTAAGTCGCCATGCTGTCGCACCCCGTTTATCTCTCAAAATCGGGATTCGACGTGTGACAACTCATTAAAAAGGGTATTTAAAGGAGAGGAGTCGCTGCCTAATAATTTTTAAGGTGTGTTAGGGCACCTATTTGCAAATCACTCTGTTTGACTAGTCAACACCACCAAAGATTGGGTAAGGGCTCAAATTACCTCAAAGAGAAGGTATTAGGCACTCTTCGAAATCCACAACTATGGGTCCCGGTCAAACTTAAGACTATGTTGATTACGTAATTATGCTAGGTGATCAGATAAACAAGAAATATAAAAGTCGAAGAAGTTTATTATAACACAATGAGACTTGGTACAAATCTTAAGTACTACAAGGATACGACTGCAATGATCTACATTAAATGACTAAGTGTGAATAGCAAGCATATAAATGAAGGGGGTCCTAAGTTTTTTAGCCTAAAGGATCACCTCGTGCAACATAAATAATACTTCGCAACTCTTTTTGAATAGGGGTTGCTCATATTATCCAGCGGGCACAGACTGTCATCTCTTGCTACCCGATTACTATGTTGAAGTTGTTTACCGAAAGCGTTCTAATTTAATTCTAAGTCGCGGCCTATACGTGCACTACTCGTCCCATGCCTATAGTCCAGGAGGCTTTGGGCCTCTATTTGGGTGGTTCTAGACTTACTTAGGTTGCTCAAAATGATAAAAACTAATCGCGCATACAAAATAAATAGGACTGCACATAATAGCAAAAGTGGCTCATATTAGCCTCCATACATAAATAAAGAAGCACACAGACCGATTTCCAGATTTAAGTAGTGGAACATTTCGAACTTAAGACTTAGAGTCTTTTGGTCCAATATGCATGATCTCTATGTAATTCCAGTATCAAACAAGTAATGTTGCATTTTAAAGCTAATGTACGTACATATTAAATCGTTATAAATCCTATAGGCATGGTCTATAGATGATTCTGATTTCCAGTAATACATAGGCAACATGGTAATTTCTGGATTAACGCATAGGCAAATTGAATGTTACAAGTCCTATAGACATGATATCTAATCTTTTTTGCGTAAAATGTTAGTGCAAACAATCATAGTTCTGAATTACTAATACTGGTTTTATAAGTATGCATCTCAACAGGCGACAATGTAATAGAAAACAATGGGAATGGTCGATTAGCATATTAGAACCCTATAGCCATGATATCTAGATGAGCAGTATACCAAAATAATTGAAGTAATTGATAAACGAATTATTTGAAGTCTTATAGGCATGGTATCTAGGTAAGTAAAAAAATATTACATTGTTGCGCCCTATAGACATGTTATCTAAGAGTGTTGAATTGAAGACATAGGAACATATGTAGCAGATATCGAAACTAACATATTTGACAAGTTAAGTGATGTGTGTGCATGACTCCTATGGGCATGATGTTAATCAGTGTATAGAAATAAAACATGCTAAATAATAGGTAGAGCACATAGACCCTGTAGACATGTTCTCTACCCTTTCATACAAGTATTAGAATACCCAGCTCCCTTTTTACTAATTTCCCTATCATTCAATTTTACAAGCTATTACAGATCACTATTAAATAATTACAGGCCCAAATACAATAGAGGATAATCCAACAGTACATATGGGTCTTCTAATAGGCTCAAGACTTCATACCGATAGCAGGCCCAAACTCCAAGCACAACCAGTATACTTTGAAAACCTCAAGAACAAAGGCAGGCCCAACATACCAGACCCTAACGATGCTAATGACTAAGCTATGGGATGCTAAATTAGGACACACAAGTAACAAGACTAATCTTAAACTGTAATTAGAAAACTATTCTAAGCAAGATCATGCTCAAATTAGGAAAATATATAAGACATATATGAGACAAACTCATGTTTATCACACCAGAAACAAAGTTTAAAAGTAGTAGGATTATTTCAAACTAAATTTCAGAAATAAGCCTGGTCTAGAACTATCCTAAGGGGGCCTTAAACAAGGGTTCAAACATGGGAACCTAACAATGTCATAGGAAAGATATATAGACTTAACATAGAAACTTCAATGTAAGAGCCTAATGAGGAAAACTAATTTGCAAAGCTTGACATGTGAACTGTTCGGGTAAGTACCAACCATCACACAAGGTTTTATGTTCAACATATGAGCATTCATAAGGCAAGCAGGCATCACACAAATAAAGATGAAATATACTAGGCATGTCGGATCTTTCCCTAGAAGTCTTGAAAAGATCAGTGAGCACATGAAAGCAAAGCAACAAGTTTGTCTATGTATTGTAACAATATTGGCATATAGAATTCATATAATCACAGGGTGACTTTAGAGAAGTGGCAGTTTATACGTGAAAGTCTTAGCAAAGACACACTCCAATGGGTTCTAGGCATGCATTGGTTCCTTAAGAGGATCTAAGTCATAACAAACAACAGACCAGTTTATACTTAAACATGAAGGTGAGAAATTAATCAAGTTGTACACTTATAACGGGTACGCACTAAGATTGACATGTTAATCTAAGCACTTAGACATAATTGTCACAAAACTTGCAGAAAAATAGCAAATTACACATAGGAGGATTCAAAATAAAGAGAGTAATTTGAGCAAGAACATAGTCTCAAAAGAGTTTTAGCAAAGCAAGGCAGTCATCATGAATCAACTTGGCTATGCACAGGATTGAAGCTAGTGAAACTACAGAGTGGTGCTAAAACAAGCAGAATTGTATACGCAGTGGCATAATATCATAATTAACTATGAGAAATCGAAACAACACTAGTACGTATAACACAAACAAAATGAGTAAAGTTACTAGAGGACAGGGCACTAACCAGTTGCAAACAAACGAATAAAAAAATCTCATAAACGACAGCAATTCCAGGTGAGTGACGAAAGACCCCAAACCTCAGTGCTTCAGAGTTCACAAGGGCCTCGAAATGGACCCCGAGCAGTGCTTGCACTGGAAAAGGTCGACAGAATTTGATGGCCTTGGCTTCCAGCCGGCCAAGAGCTTAATTTTAGGATAGTATCGAATAGGTGAGTGCGAGGGGATAGTTGTTAAGGCGATTCCATAAATACTCAAGTGTCTCAAAAGAAGTGAACGAGTGAGAAAAGAGTATAGTGAGAGTAATAACAGTTAAAAATTAGGTCTCTCGAGGGAAAATTGGGGAGGGACATATAGTGTTCAAATTGAGCGGACGAACATGGAAAATCATCAGTCAAACACAAGAAAGGAAAGAATATATCATATTCAATCAAAATCAGTAAGGAAAAAGGAAAATCTCAAACCCTAGTTGGGTCCAACGGTTTTGAATCGAACCAATAATATAAGAGTCGTTCATTG